TATCATTAAAAATCTTATTATTGCAATTATTAATAAGAATAAAAATATAGTCTATTTTTATAGTATTATATATAATCTATAAAAATACAATAGTTTTTATCATAATAAATTTTAGTATTATAATTAAAATATAAAAATTGATTAACTTATAAATCTTTATATTAATAAAAAAATGAATTAAAAATATTATTTGATCATTATAAAATAAAATTAAAAACTTAATATAGAAAAAAATTATATTTTTAAAACTGAAAAAATTAAGGTTTGTAAAATAAATAAATTTAATAATTATATAGATCTTCTCATAAATATTAATTGCTAGAATTAGAAAAGGTCTTTATAATAATTATATAAAAAAAATTATGAATATTGATATCAAAGAGTTTATTAAATCAATAAATGAATCTGATTGAATAATATAAAAATAAATTTAAATTTTATAAATTTAACAAAAAATTAATTTGATTTATAAATTATTTTTTACATATTTTTAAGATCAATAAAAACAAAATTTTTTTAAAAAATTTAATTATAATAAGCTTTTAATATTACATTAGTATTTAAAAAGAAAAATTAAATATTTGTTTAATAAATATTTGTTGAACATATATACTTTAGAAAGAAATATTAAGACATTTTTTTAAATATTTGATTATAAGTTAAACAAAAGAAAATATTTAAAAAGAGATATAAAATAAGATTGATTTATATATTAATAAAGAAAAAAAGAGATTAAAATAGAGGATCAATTAATTATTTACAATTAAATAAGAGATAAAATTAAAGAATTCAATAATTAAATAAAAATTTTTACAATATAATATATGAATATATAAATAAGAACAAGGCTATATTTTTAAAGAAGTATTTTAAAAGGTATTATAATATTCTATTAATATCAATATAGAATATAATTATTAAAATCTATTAAGAATATATAAAAGTTTTAAAAAATTTTGTTAAATAATTATTGTATTAAGGTAATAGACTAAAAAAAAATCAAATATTACTAGAAAACAAAAAAGAATCAAAAGATCTAAATGTAGAATATATATACAAGAAATTCAAAATCAGAAAAAAAGCAAAATCAACCATACTAGAAAATCAAGACTAAGAAAATCTTATAAAAAAAAAAATAGAGATAAATAGAAAAGATCTTATAAAAATTGAATATGCTATGAAATAAAATGATTATAACATTAAGTTACAAACAGAACTTTGAATATTTTGTAGTAATAATCTATGGACAATAATTTTACTGATCAAAGATTAATTTAAATCAACAGAAAAGTAAAATATTATTTCTTGTATTTCTTAAGTTATATTTAAAGAAATAGTTTATTTTCAATAATAGGTGAGTTGATATATGAAAGTCATGTCAATCTGTAAATGTTTTTAAAATACAGTATATGCAATAAAGATATGTCATTTTATCCTGACTATGAATTAAAAAAAATTATATCGGTAAATGGATAAAGTTGCTTTATTAGAGATTTTAACGTTAAACTCATTCTCAAAAATTCTTGATATACTGATACAGTATATGGTTAGAAGAGTATTAAAAATTTTTCAAGAAATATACAGTATTATGTACAGTATATTACAGTATGTATTTGTAAAATTTATATTCTCACAAGTAGCAAAAAAGATATACAGTATATACAGTATACAGTACAGTATATCGTATGTTCATTTCACACCGCAGAAAACCAATTGATCCAAGTCTCTAACTGATTGTGCCGTATCATTTTAAAATCCATCGTGATGATCGAGAATGTGGAATCAGAACAAAAGATTTTCTATTGTTAAAGATTCCAGTGAAAATTTCTAGATAGAGTTGAAATGAAAAGTAATTATATAAATAAAAATCTATTTATGGATTTTTATTCACGTATCATTGTAAATTTATTTGGTAAATCCGCGACCCTTATATGAGCGGAAACCTAGCAAAGGTGTGTGAATTTAAAAAACGCGCGCCAAACGCACCGCCTGATCACACTTGCAGTATCTTTCGACTTAAACATCGAAATATTTTACGTATTTTCTCTTAACAAGTAACCCTTCTTTATCATATGAAAATCGTGTGAATTGATGACTAAATCGGAACTCGAATATCCTTCCTCGACAATTGGACGCCCAAAATGTCGTTAGCCTTGTAACCATAATACTCAACTTACAGCATGTGGGATCATAGGAAGAAAAGGTTGGTGCACAAACAAACAAAACCTTATTTCTTTTGGGCGACGAATTCTCCCATGCAACGACGTACCTCTGTGTGCCTTCAAAATGAAGGATGACGAGCCAAGCAAACATCGAACATGCGGAATTTGAAAATCGCATATTATTGCACCGACTTTTTTGGACACGTAACCTTAAAGGGAGGAGCTCAAATTCAAAGTTCGATCGATTTGCCATGTTGCACGCATGTGTCACCACCGATAGAGATACCGATTAGTGCGCGTGCGAAGGGCGTATGCACGTACATGTGGCGCAAGTTCCGATTCCCGGTTTTCATGTGTGACCTTCAAACTTTCACGCAACATTAGTTGGTCGATGTTCAACCGACGAACGGGCTATGGCCTCTCAAGTGCTGAAAAGTGGAGGAATTTGCGAAAAAGTAATAAATGAATGAGCTTCCACCTTATACCACATTTACCGGTTTTTCAGATCCACGAATTTTCATGGCACAAGAACCCGAAAAGCCAGTATGCGCATGAGGGAATGTGAAAAGGCTTAGAAGGCATACGCTCATATTAGTCAGGCTTAGATTGTGTTTTGGATCTCGTTTTAATTAATTAATTCTTCATCGAGCGATCAGACGACAATTGCGGCGTAGCTTTATGCGATACGCTTACGCTTTTCTTGGCGATCTCAAGTGCAAGATGACATCAACTTTTATGACTTAAATTTAAATTGAATTAATTTTATTCATCCATCTTTGGAATTCTTATTCATCTTTATGAAATTTTTCCTTACATTGTTGATTATTGTGGTTTTTTTTTGTTTGTGTTTGTGATTGTCTACTATACTGTCTATTTACATTATTTGAAAAATCGAAGAAAAATGCGATGTAAAAAAGAAAAAAAAAGTACTCGTTCGAATTTGTTTTCGTGGATCAACCCCGAAAATTGTAAAGAAAAGAAAAACGAAAGGTTCATAAGTGATCACTTATTTACAAGAAAAATAATACGAAGTTGAGTTATTAGAAACTAGCTGCCAAGCACCTATGATTGAAGAATGTTTGTTGCAATTTGGGCTTAGCTAAAAGAATTAAAGGTTATTAACGCACTGATTGTTCACTATTCGCGAAGTGTGTGTTTATGAAGAAACGTTCGGTATATACTCATGAGAATTTGTGTTTACGAGAATGAAAAAAAGGAAGAAAAAAAAAAAAAAAAAGAAAAAAGAAAAACGAGAATTTAAAAAGATCTACATGTCATTAAATTAAGATTGGAGACGGCATCGGTCATTTATGAGCAGCAAACACCTTTGATGTTGTCCATCTCATTAGTAAACATGTCATTCTGATGATAATAACCCCACATGTCATTGAATCCTCTGCTACCACTCTCGTTGATTCCCACGCTGTTATAGGTGGCGGAAAGTGGCAAGAATTTTGAAGCGACCGGGGGTAGGAAAGAAGCAAAATTCCCCATGTTAATACCCCGAGTCGCTTGTGTTGACATCGGGGAGGATTGTTGATTTGACCTGGAGTTTGCTCTAGCGGCTGTCGATGAATGTTGAGATTCTTCAACTCTCACGGGAATATAGAGATCATCCTTGAGTATCTGGGTGTCCAGTTCGGTGCGAGCTTTCTTGTCCTGTTCCAGGTGGCCTCGGTGTTCTCGATAGATGTTAATGATGGGCGTGCTAAGTTCCTCCTCGTCCTCCTCCACACGACTGTATGCCAAAAAGCGACTGTTGCTTCCAGAATATTTTTTGTTGGCGGTTGTCGACGGAGAGTTTTCATGGGAATTCTTTCGTGAGGTGGAACGACGATTACTGTTGGCCTTGGTTTTCTCTCGGATGTACCCGATCCTAGAATAAATCAAAACATCGATCAGATTAGATTGAAAGTTTTTTCAGATAAAAAAAAATTTCTTGACGATTGATACGGGAGATGCTTACAAATCGCCAGAAAATTCGTCGGCGGTGAAGTTCATCTCGACAGCTTCGAAAATATTTGCAGAGCTCATCTTTTAGGATTTGGGATTTTTATAAAAAGATTGGATTTCAGACGGTGTCTTTTTGCAAGATATCACACTCGTGTCAATCGATCTTGGGGAGAGAAAGGGTGTTTTGCAAAGGATAAAGAGCGATCGTGCAGACGCAACGGATGAGAAAAAAAAAGAAATGCTTGGTGTTTATATTTCAGCAGAGATGTCAAAAAGTCGACCAAACGTTTCCTGCTTTTTTTTTGGTTTTGTTTCGGGGGGGGGTTTTTTTTTTTTATTTTTTTCGTTGATATATATTTTTCTTCCGTGGTGCAGAGTCGAGATTGAGGATGTCCAGCA